TTGCTCGGTGTGTTATTTGACCGTTAAATAACTATGCAAAGTTCGATTATAAACAAGAATTTAAATTGGACTAGGGTTTGTTTTAGTTGGTTTTTTGTTAATTTGATTCACAATTTGCATGGGTTGCAAAAAACTCGATTTGACATTGAAGTGATCATTTGGAATGCAGCGACCAATTAAGCATGATGAAAACAACCCTCCCTCCAAATTTGACTGAGAGTGTTTAGCAGACTTGACTAAATATTGATTGATTAACTTATGTCATCAGTGATTATAATCAATCATCGCTAGATTTAGAACAACTGTGCACACAAAAAGGACAAAAGGAATAAGAATCTGTGAGCCGAAATGTATAAACTTCATTGAAACGTTTTTAAACCAAAAAAAAGTTGAAATTGTTTCGTGTTACAGGCAAGTTTGAATTGAGTTTTATGGGAACTTGTGCCAAAAAAAACTTAAAAGACTTCACATGAAAGTCAATTTTGGACGAATTGACCTAAGTTGAAGCAATAGCTCGACTCAATTTAATTAAATTAGGTTTGTTCATTTTTCGGCCGATTGGCGTTTTGACCTCGTTAGAACACCTTTGATTCTCTTTGATGTTTAATGGATGATGATTAGTAGCGACCATTGGGTTGCATTTCTACACATTAGAACACCATATTGATTCAGCCAGCAGAATGAGTTGTAACATGCTTTCATGCTTGAGCCATTTGTTGGTTGAAGGATGATGGTGCAAACTAATACGAAATGACGTGCATCATGTTTTTATGTTTTTAACCTTTTTGTGGTAGAAAACAATTAGTTTGATCGCTTGGGTTTTTAGCTGAATCTAACGTCCCAATTTTGTAGATAAACGGGCGTTTTGAATTCGTTTCCAAATGGGTAACTACAATTTCTTTGTTAGGCAGAGGTGAAAATATCTCTAAAATGTGCTGTTTACTGTATGTTTAAAAAGTGCATTTATGTTTTGAACATATTTGATGAACAAAAAGTTTAAAGTGATTCATCACCAGTGGCTTGCTCAGAAATTTTTTGACGGGAAGCATCCGGAACCCCAGCATTACCAAAACTAGACAAAATTTTCTGCGCGGCTGGCTTTTTTTTGGAAGGATATGCCGTATTGTAAGGTTTTGGCGCAAAAATTATAATTTTTTGTTGCCTGTTCCCTTTTAAAATGAGTATATATGGGTAAATAAAGCTCAATAAAATTATATTATTCTAGTTTAGACAGCTTTTAACCTTTTAAACAGTTCTGTGATTTTTTGAACGGCCGTTGTTCAAACTAAAGAATATATAACCAAAAGACTCATCTTCAAAAATTTAAGATTAAAAATTATCTATTGTTTTCTTGTAAATGTGATGTTTACTTTTTGAAACAGCAGCTTTTTTTTGTCTTCATTTTAAAAAATAGCAACTCCCTGTTGGCTATATATTTTTTCCCATGGTTTGGGCTGCGGTCATAGTGCAGTCAAATGTCGTCAATTTAGCCAGTATGGTTTTTTAGTTATCCATCCAGGGAACTGCCTTAAACTGCATGAAATTTCGTAGACAAAATTTATATATTGTTTTTGACGCGATTCAAACCCTACTTTTTATTTTTTCGAAAATTCAGTTCAATTTTCAAATAGCTCCTCAATGGTCAACTATCACGGCGGGGTTTTATGACGTTTTGTTATCCAATATACTATAAAACATGTTCCTGCTAGTTGTGTTTGGTTTTCAAAGCGTCTTCGGAGTTTTGATTGAAAACCACACTTGGGCTTGTTGGCTGATTTTTGCTGCATGGGCTCAATTGGATGTTTGCTGACAATGCCGCATATCTGCTAGGTTTTAATAATTGATTAAGAAACGATGAACGTAGTTCAGTCTCTTATATAGGTCGTGATGATTTATTTAAAGTTTTTTTTTAGGAAAAGATAAAGACTGTTCAGGCTCAATTTTACTTTTTCGCAGTTTGATTTTTGGTATATTTCTACGTTCAGTTCAGTTTTTCTTAAAAAGAAGACAAACTCCACTATCGAACAACAAAAGTGTGAGGGTCACGAAAAACGTGATCGACTTCTAATTCGCAAATGGATTTTCATTATGAGATTTCCCAGCGCAATAAAAAGTTTATCTACTGATCCAGGTTTCCTAAATTGGGTTAATTTTATCAAAAAGATGTCACTCATTAATTGTTCTAGAAATTCAAAAAGCTTTAAGGCCATCTATTTATTTTCTTCGAAAGTTTTTTTTTCAAAAAAAAACAAGTCGGTAATTCTTTTCTGTTTACTTACGTTTTTTTTACTCTTATCCAACGATGTTATGTTTTTTGTCATCTATTTTTTACTCAATTTTTTTTGCATATTTTTTTCATTATTTCTCCTTAGTGAATATATCCATATTCTTAATTAATCATTCATTCGCATGACAGACTGCTTTTTGCAACCCAGATTGGTGGGTTCGTTTGCGGTCTCTTCATTGTTTCCGGTACATTATGTTATGTTATGTTGAATATTTATCATTAAAAGTTGGATGTAACCTTTTTTTCTTCGAGCATTTTTTTTTATTCTGAGAGTTCTACATCGGTCTGTGGGAAAACTTCGTGCGCAAAGAACCGAATACGCGAAAGTGAGGTCAGCCAATCAGAATTCAGTTTTCATACAAGAGCGTTGATTGGTTGAGACATTTCGCGCATGATAATAGCCCCCCATCAGTCCCTAAAGTCAGATATTGTTTACCAGATGCAATTTCAGTATGAATGGTCATTACATCTATCAATTGCTGCATATAAATTCAGTTGGCGCCTGTCGTGTTGATTAGAAACCCGGCTTGAAAGCGCCCTTCGTGTATGTTAAGCATCTACTATTTAATTAAAGTGGGTCTAGCTTAATGTGGCTTGTTTGATCTATCTGATATCGTCAGATGAATGTACACATGCACCCTAACGAGGTACAGTGATTAGTCAATACGTGAATCATCAATTGATTACAAGTTGGGTTTGGGTTCGAATTCACATTGGCTGCTTGTTTTATTTGGTCAATAAGAAACCGATTAGTGATGTCTGTTTTATGCTAATACATGCTTTAAAGTTCATATAAAATCTCTTGCAATCAAAAATTAGCTCTTTTGAAATCGTTTAGTGAAATGTGAAGCTAGAAATGTATCTGGTTTTCGTTTAAAAGTCGGCGGTTACAAAATTTAATCGAGCATGAGAAGTTGGGAAATGTTTTTAGGGTCTTCGTCTAACTTAGACGAGGATCAAAAGACTTGGTTTTAATTATGTTTAAAATGCTGAGCACGAAACCGAATTGTGGTTTCTCAGAGTTTTTTCAGATTTTTTTCTAAAAGTATCTTTTGCCAATTCTAGATCCCACAAAACGTTGTGGTTAAAAAGAACTAAAATTGAAAAAGAGTATTTCACATGTTTAAAGGTTATCTGTCGTCTTCGTTTATCTCCTAAACCTGCTGTTTGCCTAATTTGACGTCGCTTTTCCTATAATTGTTTTCTCTCTCTTCAAACTCGCACAACAATAAATCCCAATTTGAAGACAATCTTCAAATTGCACAATTTAGTTTGGTCGCATGTAGTCTACTGCAAATTTCAGACTGTCAAAACATTTTCCCGTATTAAAAGTTTTATTGCCACCGTAAAGTGTTTAAGCCTTAGCCAAAACAGACTTATGTTTTAACGATAAATTTAATCTAAAAGCTCACAAATAATTGATTGAAAGATAATGATTTTTATTTCGGATATGAAAGGAAAAAGCTTCTAGTTTTAAGTTTAAGACAACAATTTCATGGAATTTTTTCACGATTAAAAATATAGTCAAAAACGGTTTTTGTGATTTTTCGTCGCTCGAATAATTTAACCCGAAAACGTCGAAACTTAAGCTTTGTTTTCGTTTTTATTGTACTGCCCTCAAGGCTTAAGAGCTTCTAAAAGCAAACCACCTACCACGTAAATTGAACTTCATAGGAACTGTTTAGTAATAACTGAGTTTAACGTGGCCCGATTAAGAGTTAAAGTTTATACGTATTGCTGTTGTACCAATTTTGGTGAAGTGAGTTATGCCGTTTAGATTCAGCGTGTTATTTTCCATGATTTGTTGTTATTTGCCCGAGGATGTTTATCTGGGAATCTAGATCCCTTTTCTTGAGGTGGCGGTTTTTCCTTTTTTCTCACTATACTTTACCAGGAAAGAGACTTGCAGGAAAAACTGACAGTTTTCTTAAATTCATGCTAGCCGAATGTGAATTTTAATGATTCATCTATCTTGTTTCGTGCGAATATCGAATATATCAAGTTCTTTTGATTTTTTTTGTTTCTAGCATTTAGAAAGGGATCTTTGTAAAAAGAATCAACGGAATTTAAAAGCACTCAACTTCGAAAAATAAATCCAATAATCATTTTATCGTGAGCTTTTTTCAGCCTTACAAAGAGGCACTGATAATTCATTTTGACTTTTACTTAGAGATGTCTAGAAAATTACATAATTTCAATTTACCCAATTTGAAGTCATAAAATTCTATCCTTGGGCTGGCTATTTTAATTTCGTAATATGGGTTCTTTTTTCGTTTTCAGATATCAAACAAAAACGATAAGCTCAATTTTCTAATTTTCTATTTGGGTCATTTTTGACAGTGAAAGAGCGAATGTTTCTTTGATTCACCTGTGATCGATATTATGAAAATTAGCTCTGAGTGAAATTGACCCAAAAGGAGACTTCTGTTATCTTTTTCTGACCTAAAAGTGAGTCGAGCTAATTAGGACCACCAAACAGCGATTTGATGTGAACTCTTTTCAGGCATATTCCTAATTAGAATTTGAGAGAAAGAAACTTGGTTTTATTGGTGGTATTTTTGGGTTGAAAACATCTATGAACAATAAAATCTACTTGTTTAGTGAAAAGATGCGACGCAATTGCATTACGACGATTTAAGAAAAAGTATATTTTTTGAAATAAATTGATCCATTGATGGATAAGGTCAACTTGTAATTTTTTTTGATGTTTCAGGAAGTCTCGCAAGTCCAAATACCTCAACGAAGGTGGCCAGAATGGTTTCATCCCCCCACCCGGCTCAGGAGGTCCCTTCCGCAGCAACCACGAGTCCATATATCTGTCTCAACAGGGGGGCTGTGGCATTGGGGGAATGGGCACTGCACTTGGATTACACCCCCACGGGGGTTACCACCAGCTGAACAACAACCCAAATCTCACCTTAAGTACAATACTATCTCCCCACACAGCTCCAGGGGGCTATCTGATGCAAATGGGCACACTAGCGGGAGCAGGCTCCTACGATAACGATATTGAAAATAATTACGATGATCTGGACACTTTCCAAAGGGAGACAGGGGCTCCCACTAATTTCATCCAGAATAACATTCTGAAGAGCCAGTTGTCGTGTAAAGAACAGATCGGGAAAGGTATGTGTGTCTTTTAAAATAGTTAATTGCTAAAAGAGCTTTTTAAAAAGCATTATCAAATCGGAACATAGACTTGTTTCCAGCTAAACAACTTGTCTGACAAAATCACTGAAATATTTGATAGATTGGTATATAATCAATTAAAATAGAGTAGATGGTTTAATTCTGCCCTTGTAGCAGCGCTAGCTTTGGTTTCTACGACGAAAAGGTCCAGGGTTCGAATCCGGCCAGAACCGCTCCTTTTTTCACATTAAGATTTTCCGCTTGAAAAAAATAGGAGTAGCGTTTGTCTGTTTATTTTATCGGATTTAATGCAAAGCAGGATTTTTTTTGATAAACGATTCTGGGGGTTTTTTTTCAAGGTTTTCTTTCGCTTTTTATTGTCTTGTTAGGCACTAAAAAGCAATGAATGCAGTGGAAAGGCTTCTTTTGAAAGTATGATTTTATCAGATTGGAAAAATTTGTAGAAAAAAATCCAATTTCTGTTGTTCCACATTCCTTTGCGTGGTTTCTGTATGTCAAATGAGCTTTGATGATGTTTGTCTTGCAAATGATGCGAAGCTTCGGTTTGCCTCTGTAAGATGTCGCTGTCATAATTTGAGATATTGTCTGTAACTTCTTGAAAACGTGGTGGCACTCCCAATGAAATTTTATTTGACGTAAAATGATTTGGCGTCGGATATGTCGGCTTAGTAGCTTCATTTAGTGTCATTTGTTGGGCCAAAAAACTACACTGCGAATTTCGAGCTTCAATTTTTTCTAATGCAATATTTTTTTTAATTTTTTTTTCCGACCCAAGTTTTATGGTCTTATTACCGCTTTGCAAATCAAGTTAGGATGTTTTTTCGAAATTGAATTTTATCCGAGGCAAATTATGATATGAAAACTTGCTAGATGTAGTTTTTTATATATATTTTGAAATTTGTCGACTTGTTATTTCTGGCTAGCGCTTGCCATGCTATGATTGTGATGGCGAAAAATATATAGAAGTGGCCTTTTTGGCCTTTTTTTCTCAAAAAATTGCCTGCGGCGCAACAAATTTGGTCAAACTAGAGTCATTATAGTAATTAGAGTCAATTGTGTCGACCTAAAAAAAAGGTCGACAAAATTTTAATTTTTTTTTGAAAATTCGCCCTCCCCCCTCGAGAAATTCCTAGATCCGCGCCTGTCTCGAACAAGTCCTTCTAGTTTCCAAGGTTGATGAAGAGTCGATGAACTTAGTAAACACTCTTATAGAGTTCTTGGTGATTTTTTTGTTCGTTTTTTTTTCTGGAAAAAGTCTTAAAATTTCTTCACGCTCAAATTTGGTTTTTGCAGTTTGACTTATGGTTTTTTGTAAAGACTAGAAAAAACATAATCTACTTCTAGTTGCAAACGTGGAATTTAATTTTCAGATGTGGAATAAAATTTTGACCTAATAATTCAATTTTCTCAAATAAGGTTAGTTTTATCATAAGTTTTTCTTGAAATTCAAGAGCTTTAAGGCCATCTATTCTGAAATTAGAAAGTTGAAGTTTTTTCAAAAAAAAACAAGTTAGTATTTTGTTTTGTTTTCATACGTTTATTTACTTTTTCCCCAACTGTCTGTTAGCTATGTTTACTGTTGAATAATTTCTGATATTGATTCGTTGCGATCTTGCTTTGAATTCTCAGATGTTGGTCGAAATTGTTTTTAATTGCACATTTAGTAATTTATAAGGGGCATAAATTCTGAAAACGTCGCAGTTATTGTTAATCAGAATCCGTTCGGTAAAATTTAGCTTGTAGGATGAATTTTAGGATAAGAGGAGCTAACATTTATCTTTGGAATGAAACCCATAAAACTATTTAAGATACACTACTTGTAATACTTTTGCCAATAAAAACAACTGGCAAGACTTTATTTTTTATTAAGATCATACAAGGGTCATGATTTGGTTAACATTCTGCTGTTCCCACATCATGCTAATGATAATATATGTGGTAGATTTTGATGGTCGATTTGTTACAATTGCTCTTTACCTTCTAGGAAACTTCTCGACTGTGCACCGTGCGAGGTACACTTACCAGGAGAGACAGGGGGGACCTTTGGGGAGTATAGTGGTGGCTGTGAAGGAGCCATCGGCCGCCTATGCCAGTGAACTGCAGAGGGAGATTGAGATCATGGCACACATTCAACATCCCAATATTGTCACCCTCATTGGAATTGTGCAACGTCAGTTCAGATTTCTAATGTGGCCTTACTTTAGATTGGATGGATGATTTGAATTAGGTTGCTATTTTATTTAGGATATTTATTTTTAAAACATGGACGCGGACCTTGTTTATTCTTTAAATAATTTATTCTTAAATTATTTCGATCAATCTATCCTTCAATACATTTTAGTTCTCTTTCCTGAGTTGCACAGAAGTTAACACATTTTTAGCAACGAATAATTTCATTAAAAATGGATCTCACTTCGCTTTGAAGTTTCGCTCTTACTTAATTCGAGCTAAAGGAAGTTATGCCAAATCCCAAAAACACTTTTGAGAAACTTAAGCTGGCATAATTTTTGATTCTTTCTCTGTATTTATCAAATGGGTCCCATTTCTAGCGATGGTTAGTGGGGAAGCACAGCAGATAGTGATGGAATACATGGAGTATGGATCTCTAGAGCAGTTCCTCCACTCTCACAGACACCTCACACAGACTGCCCATTATCAGGTGGAGGGTGGGGGCGGCGGGGGATTCGAAGGGGGAGTGGGATTGGGACCAGTGTCTTTATTGTGTATGTTGGGAGACGTGGCTGATGCTATGAATTATCTACACCTGAACAACTATGTACACAGGGTAAGTCAGTGCATGTTATTTTTTCGTGTCCTTTCTTTTAGTTCGCCCATCAATGTGTAATTGAAGCAATCAAAACAAAAAAAAAACAACTGGAATAAACTTCTATATGCAAATTAGGAATTGGTTTGAAACGATTGCGATTCAATTTGCAATTTTTTGTCAAGCGAATTAGAGTAAAATACGACTTAAGACGCTGGAATCTTTCGTCGCAATTTTTTTAAAAGCTTTTTAAACTAGTACTTGAGAGTTTAATCGGCAACTTTGTATCTTTCGTATGGCGAAAATTTAACCGGATTAAAAATGACGGCTTTTATGTTCACTTTCTTTTTTACAGACTTGCGATTGTAACATAATTCAATTTCTCTCTTTAAAGGATCTAGCCGCCCGTAATGTGCTCGTGGGCCGTCAGAGGGCGTCCACTCCCTCCCCCACCCGACCGAAGGAGGCTCTCCCTGTCACCTGTAAGCTGTCTGACTTCGGACTCTGTCGCTCAGTTGACAACTCAGAGGGACTAGTCTACGATTTCCTCAATTCAGCCAATCGGTCAGTCAAATCTTTTTGCTGTTGCCTTATGTTTTATCCAATATGGGGATTCTTCATTCGAATCTGGATCAATTATCTGATTTTGGTTGACTGTTTGGAGAAAGCGATGAAGGTTTTTGGAACATTGAAAAGCCGTGTTAAAAGCTTTTGTTAAACCAATTAAAATGCTCACAAGGTCAAGCTGATATGGTTTTCCGAAATATATTCATAAATCCATTTCAATAATGTAGCTTCATTCCATCTATCTAGTTTATTATCTTAGATCACCTGTAAGAAATCGCGCTCGCCCTAATTAAACAACACATTGAGCTTGTAAATTCATGATTAATTGATGTAACTGTACTTTTTTTGGCTGCAGACTCCTACCTGTGCGCTGGATAGCACCCGAAGTGTTGGAGTACAAACTGGCCACGTTTGCGGGCGATGTGTGGAGTTTTTCCATTGTCACTTGGGAGGTGTTCAGCTATGGCCAGAGACCCTACTGGAAGTGGGATTCCGCCAATGTGAGCAGTCGTCTTAAATTTCAAATTCCTGGAGGAAGCTAACCCTGGTAATGAATCTTTATATCTTTTTGAATTAGATCATGAGTGCAGTTGAGGATGGATACCGACTGCCAGTGCCTCCCGCTTGTCCCCTGAGTGTCTATGAGGAAATCATGAGTCCCTGCTGGAGGTCAGACCCCACCCAGAGACCCCTGTTCGCAGACATTCTTCCTCGGATCCAGGAGTTCCTGGAGAACTCGGAGGAAATGCTAACGAATAACTACCTCAAGCCATCGTTAGTAGAAACTTCCGTGATGTTGCCATGCAGTATTATTACTTAACTTTCATATGATCTCCAGTTCATTTTACGACGCAACATTGTATTCGGGTGTGTTTTAGTTTTTTTTTTGTTTTCCACGCAAAATCAGATACCACAACTAAATATCGGAGAGAGTTGAGTGATATATCATACTAAAGCTCTTTTAGTCGTGATTCGAACGAATAAAGAAATTTTGAAAAAGTTTTCCTAGTGTTGAAAAAACTGGTTTGAATTTTTTTTTTAATTTTTCGTCTAAATTCGAGTGAGTAAAGCGAGCGAGCACGCTTATTTATGCTTAATTTAGGCCGTTGTCTATAGATTTTTTATGCTCAATTTTAATTTTACTCAAGTCAAATTAGTTTTTAGAGATTTTTAATGCCATTTTCGGTATCAAAAATTTCCAAATTCAAATAATTTTGCACAAAAAAAAGATTTTTTTTTCTTTTTTTTATTCTAATCATTTTTTTCAAAATCTGTTGTCCTGTTTGCCTATAATACTATGACTGTCAAATATGCCTTAATTATAGTTTTACGTCGGATCCTTTTATGACACCACGCAAAAAAAACTACACTAATTTAAAAAAAAAAGAATTTTTTTCTTGTAGTTTTTTAAAGAATATGGTCGGAACATTCTGTGCTACTTGCACAGTAATCGACTATACTTGTTTGTTTTAGATTTTAGATTAATGTTTTTTGTTTGCTTCCAGGAACTTCAACCCGTTCCACCAGGAGGCTAAGGAGTTGGTGATCAACAGTGAGAACAGTGTGGAGAGGTGGCTGAAACTTCTCAAGATGGAACAGCACTGGTCCAAGTTCAGAGACAGAGGCCTGCTCCAGTTGACCCAGCTGACTGGACTGAGTTACATCCAGTTGAAGAAGGACCTGGAGATCCAGTTGGTCGGCAATAGGAGGAAGATTATCCAGTCTATAGAGGTGGGAAGAATTAGAAACATCACATCAGTTGTTTACTCGTTGGGCAGTTTACAAATATTGATGAAAATAAGAATCATACATCGATGTTAAAATTGTATTATTGAGAAAAAATTAATGCAGTTTAATCATAGAAAAGTTCAATATCGGTAGAAATGATGAAAACATAATCAGTGATTCTGCAACGCTATGCACTTACTTACTTACTTACTTGCAGGTTTCTGTATCCACCTCTTCTTGAACTTACATATATGGATACGAAGTATGTTTGAGTGCGAATTTGAATTGTCCACAATCAGACAATGTGAACAATCGTTTTTTGTATGCTTTCACGGATGCAGCAAAAAAGAGCGACTATGTTTCAATCGTAGGCACGGGCATTAAGTTCCACGTTCGCTCCTAATTGATTATCGATTTTTAGGTCATCCGGGAACTGCAGAATGCAAGCGCCAACTCATCACACGCCGCCGACAACTCTAAAGTACAGCCTCCTAAGTGTCACCCATCCAACCCAAACTCCCCTCATCAACATCAAAACAACCTCGCAATCGGAAACAACAATCATCATAGTCAAAATCATCATAATCAACAACATTCACGCCAACCACCCAGTGGAATCGACGAAAATTTCCTCCCCCCTAGTGACAACAGACGATCAGTCATCATGGGGGAGCAGCAACTTCAGAGTCAGGCAAAGGGGGGACATCAATGGGGATTTTCGCAGCAACCGTTGAACTCCTTTGGTGATGGGGGAGTTACGACGAACGGGAATCATGAATACTCTTTGAATAGCAGTCCTTCTTCTGAGCGACATTCTGACTCGCAGCCGCCACCAAATTGCAATAACAACAACAGTATCAATAGCAGTAAACAACAACAAGCAAAGCGCATTGCAAATGGCAGTGGAAAAAACACGGAAACGGAAATTTGAGGGGGAAAACTTTTGAGCTCGACAATCGTTCTACAGAGATGAAAATAAAAACAAAAGACTATTTTGAAATTTTATAATTTATTACTTTTACTACTGATCTTGTATTACCATTGATAGTCGACCGATCTCTTTAGAGTTAAAAGAGCTTTCAGCAAAATGTTTTGCTATCATGTGATAAGAATTAGGAAGCGACAGTTAGATGCCATTTGGGCTCTATTTAGTTATCCTATATCTTAACATATTGAGAGTCCCTCTGGGAGTTTTTGCAAGCCTGATTAATCGTGAGGCAGTAAATAAGCTGCATCGGTTAATCCGAACAACAGAAGAGGTAAGTCGCAAATTTTCCTTCGACCAGTACGCAGGATCGTGCAAAGTAGAGTCGGCGGGTGAGACTTGCGAGAACATCGAAAGCGACCGAAGAAGCACGGCAGACAAAACCCGACCAGTTAGTACTACTCTATGCAGCTATAGGAGCTTCAGCGGCAGAAGACTAATCCAAAGGCAAGGATTTCAGAGCAGAAATGGTAATTGCCGCTGCTTCAACTCGACAGTTGGAAAAATTTTCAATGATCGTTAAGAAAATCTGACTTCATGAAAATACATTGTCTCCTTTTTTTTATGTCGACCAAATTGATTTTTTTGAGCTCTCGGCCGAAACCACTTTAAAGACCCGAATTCTATCAAACTTTCTGCGCCGCTGACAAATTTTTGTCCCCCCCCCCTAAATCCGCTACTGATAACACATACCGGAGATCTCGAACACCAAGCGGATGTGCACCGGTCGTGCGAACTTTTTTTTGCTGGGCAAACCCGCCGATTGCAAAAAGAAATCACCATCTACAAGTGGATTTGAACGAACTGCCCTGCCCAAAACCACTTGTAGAAAGCAGTTTATCATGCGCTAATTCTCGACCTACCAGAATTAAACAATTTACACGAAGTGAGCGAAAAGCGAAGAAGCAAAAAAATTGATTTGGAGGTGCTATCTTAAAACATCGTTTGGTAGCATCGCCACTGGAGAAAAAATTGAAACCTGCCACAGGCGCATTGCAATTTTCAAAATCTTGTCACTCAAATTATTTTTATCTTAGGCACACAAGGACCCCGAGTCAAACTAAGGGTTGCTTAACCGTTGGAAAATCGAAAAGTTTTTTTTTAATTATGATTTTTTAATATGATTTCTTTTTCTAATCCAATTTCTGGTCAGTAAATTTTTAAACCTGGGCTATTTCTAGTCATAAAACTTTTTTATCTGAAATTTTTCGAAACCGTGTTAAATGCACTTTTCATCTACGTAAACAGTTCGTCTATTACCTTGAAGTTTCAACTATGATGCAGAGAACTTTATACGAATCATAATACACGAGGCAGTAGCGGATTTAAGGGGGGTGGGTCGACCCTCTGCTGACCCAAAGAGTCCCCCTTTATACTATTTTGAGATATCCATTTTGGATGACTGGACTTAAGACTTTTCTAAGGGCGCCTTTGGCGCCAATATTTACTAATTTTGAGGGGAGAGCGCGCGCCGAAAAACCTAATTTTTGGTCAAAATTTTCCAAAAAGTGCATAAAAACGCTTTTTATGGCCTGTTTTTTGAAAAAATTGCCTGCGGCCAAGAAAATTTGGTCAATCCGGGGCTTTATAGTGATTTGGGAGAGCTCAGAAAATCAATATGGTCCACCTAATAAAAATCCGCCGCTAGGTCAAAGTTGTCGCTCTAATATACCAGCTGTCTTCAGTAGCGGATTTAGGGAGGAGGTCGGGGGGCAGACTCTTCCTCGTTCAGGGATTCGACCCCCTGCCGACCCAGGGGGTCGAATTTTTGTGCTATCTCTTTTTGGCGACGGACCCTAAAACTATTCTAAAGGCGCCTTTGGCGCCAATATATACTAATTTTGAAATTTCGAGGGGGAGCGCGCTTCAAACAAAACGCTATTTTTTGGTCAAAATTTTCCAAAAAGTGCCTCAAAACGCAGTTTTTTTTATTTGGTTTTTTAGGTCTTCATAGTGGTTTGGGAGAGCTCAGAAAATCAATTTGGTCGAAAAATGCCAAATTTTATTTTCAAATTTTTTTTGAAAATCCCGTCCTGTTTTTCTGATTTCGATCATTGTTAAAATGATTAATGTTCAAACTTGAATAATGTCTTTTTTGTACGTATTTTGGTATTTGATTTTGTCTCGTTAATTTGATCTGTTTCTTTAATGTTCACTTTATCTTTCACCGTAATTTGCTTCTTAAATTTTTGCTAGAAACAGTCGCGTTGTTCTTTTACGTTTGCAGCATAAAATCTTCGTTTAAAATATGTTCGTTTTCAACAATTCAATATGGCCTTACTGCAAAAATTTTCTTTAACGGATTTGAATAATGGAGTACTTCTTGAGCAGTTAATAAAACAGATCGATTCCCAACAGAATGAAATTACAGAATTAACGGGGTGAGAATGACAGGCTTCTTTACGACAACCATGAGTTGGAAAAAAGAGTTACAGGAGTGGAAAGTTGTTCCTCATTTATTTGTTTAACATTTCATGGAGTGTCAGATGGTGGTGAGTACCCTGTCCATTCAATTGTGAAGATACCAAGGTCAGTAAATATTTCAATTCAGCCCCAGGACATCGTCACGTGTCATTATTTACCAGGGAAGGGTCGAAATTGTCCGATTATTGCCCAATTTTTGTATAATCACCAGCGAGATGCTGTTTGGAATAAGAGATTCAATTTTTGGGATGCTTTAACGGGAAATACATTTCATGTCAACAAACAATTGGCAGAAAAAGATAGGGAAGTTATGAACTACTGCAGACGGGACAAAAATCTACTAACCTCTACTCACAAGAATCAAGTCCAGAATAAAAAGTACAATTCATGTGGTAGATGGCAACCAATTGATAACAAGAAGGATGTTGATATTTATATGGGAAATGATATCTCAGTAACTACTGACAATAAAAAATATACGGATGTTATTCAAAATGCTGCTGATTCCGACGATGTTCAATATCCAAAATCTTATTCTTTTTTTGGGAACTCCGGGGAAAAGGAAAAGGAGCGTGGCTTTTAGATCACCGGATAGTCATGAATCGCAAAATGATATACAAGAGCGGAAACTTGATAAACTATGCTGTTTGGTAGAAAAACTCGTTGAAAGCCACTCTCAACTACCAGTGATGATGTTGTTAGCGATGATAATATGGACAGCAGCGAAGAAAAATATGAACCTGAAAATTAAAAAAGAGTTTTGAATATCAGGAAAACATCTTTTTTTTCTGTGTTAAAGCTTTATTTCTGATTTTAAAAGGATTTCTAATGGGTAACGACGGCGACATACTTTTCTTAAATATTCAATCACTTCGCAACCATCATGACCAATTAAAATTCTTGTTGGTTCACTAAAATGGCAACCATAAGTCGTTGCTTTATGCAAAACTTGGTTAAGTGACAATGATCCCTTGGAACTTTATAACTTAGACGGCTACTAAAAAAGTATTATAGTTAACCGGCAAAAAAGTAGATGGGAGTTTAGCATTTTTCATAAAAGATTAAATTGACTTTTCGCACGAAATTTTATCGAATGAACTAGAGAATGTTGTCTTAACTTTAAGCCTAGGTAGTAAACAGAAATTAAACGTTTGTATGATGTAGCGACCGCCATCAATCAATTCAAAGCAATTCTTAACTCAATCTGAGGATTTACTCGTGAATTTGAATTCAAAACAATGTCAGAACTCAATCATTGTGAGAGATATGAATTTAGATATTCTGGATGTGTCGCGCAATTCTCGATTAAATGAGTAATATAAGTTGATACTTAGTTTTTTTGGATTTTTCATATCAAATAGTGAAGCAACAAGAGAAACCGCATCCAGTTCCACCTGTATTGATCATATCATCAGTAAATATGATATGAGCGTAACTGCTTCAAAAACTTCTTTAAGTGATCATTATGCGCTAATTGCCTCTATTGGACCTTTTTTGGACGATAGTGACAATTCTACGATAGGTCGAAACTTGAAAATCTTGAACAAAAATCAAAATTTTTTGAAATTCTTGTTTAATTTGCTTCAAAATCTCAATAATTGCAGTTTGGAAACAAATGATGACGTGTTGACCGGTTTAACAAAATTATCTCTGGATGTTTTTGACCGTTTTTGCCCCCAACAAACATCACTAAGGAAAAAACACAAAGACTGGATCACCAATGATATCATAAAAATGTGTGAAAAGAGAGATCGTCTTCTTGCCAAAATGATTAAGAAACGTTCACTTGAAAATAGTAATTGCTTCCAAAGTTCAGAAATAAGGTAATAATGGCCTTTAGGCATGCTCAAAGAGACTATCATGATAAGAAAATTGAAAAATGTACATCATTAAAACGAATGTTTCAAGCTTTTAATATTTTTTGTGGAAAACAAAAACCAGCCCAAAAAGAGATTGAACCAAACTTACTTAATGATTTATTCGTCAATATTGGTAAACACCTGAGCAATTCTATGTCACCTGTTGGTCATGCTTCTCAAAAATTAGACCGAAACATATCATTTTTTGAAATTTGTAAAACGGATGAACATGAAGTTTTAAAAGGAATAGGGGCCTTAAAAACTAAAACTTCAAGTGGTCATGATGGTCGTTCAATTAAAATGATTAAATTATGTTCACCAGTCATATATGTTTTCCTGGCAAACATTTTTATTAAATGTATTGATAGTGCTTATTTTCCAGATGCTTGTAAAATTGCAAAAATTGTCGCTTTTCAGAGAAAGAAGGGGACAGAGAAAATCCCAGTAACTATCGACTTATTAGTCTTTTGACAGCTTTTAGTAAAATTTTTGAAATATTAATTTATAAAGGAATGCTAGTTTTCATTAACAAAAACAATATTATAATACCGGAACAGTTTGGTTCTCGCGAAAAACATTCTTCTATCCATGCTATCCTACGAGTTACTGAAATCATGCGAAAAATGATTGAGACAAAAAATATGGGCTTTGCACTTTTTATTGATCTAAGAAAGGCATTTGATACAGTTAACCATTGCATTCTTCTGGAAAAATTATACGCGTACGGCTTTCGAGGAAAATTCAACAAATTGATATCAGGTTATTTGACAAACAGACGACAATTTATTGTTAATTGGAACGGT